CACCTACATGCATGAGAAACCCTTGGGACACAAAGGATGGCTGAACCAGGAAGTGCTGATGTTGCTCCGTCTCGAAAATGTGTGCTGAACTCTAGAGCAGAGCCCAAGTGTGAAGGTGGCATTGTCTGCCCCGACAATGAGCTGGCTTGCCTGCTAGCCTGGATCAATCAGTATGCTTATATATCTTGTAAAATAAGCTCACAGCCACACAGTGAACTCTGCTGTACGGACATTGATGATGTTTGTAGGTAACTCTCTTTCTGCGGCTTTCTTTGCTGTGTTTTGTTGGGACTCCTGACAGCGCAGAAATCTCCCCCCTGCCCCTATTGGCATAGCATTTTTCAGAAGGGAACCATAATTCAGTGGTAGGTTCCATGCCTTGCATGGAGAAGGTTCCAGGCTGAACCTTTGGTTATGTGGCTATATGAGGCCCAGTCATATCCAGCTTATGGCTACCGTATGATGAATACCCTGGAAAATGGCCTGTCCTTGACCCCAAACCTTTGGTAGCTCTAGCTGAAAAGGATCAGGCAATGGAGAAGACATCTGCCTGAGCCCCTAGTCAGCTGCTTCTAGTCTGAGTACACAATACAAACAGACAGGCTGTGCAATGTAGTAGCAAACAGGTTGCAAACGAAAACAGAAGAAGGCAGAGTTCTCAAGTGGAGTTCAGAGTATTTTGAAAATGGCCCTGGTCCCCCCATCTCTAAAGATTACCCTCTTCTGGCAGATTACCACAGTGGAATAGAAAGTAAAGCATTTGCCGCATGCCTCTGCATACCGGTTGCTGAGGAACCCAAGTGGACAGGTGCTACCCCTCCCATGCTCTGCCTGTGGGCTTCCCAGAGACAGCTGGTTGTCCCCTGTGTGAGCAGGATTCTGGGCCTATATAAGCCTCTGGTCTAATCCAGTGGGCCTCTTCCTGCAGTCCCTGGTTCCCTGCTCCCTTGACCCACAGAGCCTCATTAAAGTGCCTTTCTGTACTGCATGCAGCACCTACTAGCACTGTGGATGGACAGCCAGGAGGAGGTGAAGAACAGTTGGTCGACACTTTGGTCATGTGCCCAGCCTGAGCACCGGATCGGCCATGAGAAGGCTGTTGCCAGCCATGGAAGTTCATGGACCCAGGGAAGGCTCTTCTTGGCCCTTTCCCCGCCCAGGTGCTCTTGTGTGCTTTTTGCAGTTTCTTAGCATCTAGTACCTTCGAAGGGATTCCAGTGGATGCACTAAAACTAAGAAGGGATCCCATGGCTGCTTGAAGCCTGCTGGAAACAGCAAACTTCCTTTCTGTCTGAACAGGCAGAAGGTTGTGTCCCAAAAGCCTGATTTATGTTTGTATTTAAAGAGTTTTTTACTGCACATCTCAGCTGCAAATGCGCTCATAGTGGTTTACAGATCAATAAAAACAAGAAGGTTTGTGCCTTCAGGCTTATATTTTGAAAGAAATGAGACAAAAGGCAGAGGACAGAGAGCCAAGGGAGAGAAATCCACAATGAGGTCGAACGAGTTTGGATTTCTGTGAATCTGTCCTGTGGGTCCCACAATGAACTGCTGTTGTTTTCTGAGCCCTGCGTATTCCACAGACTTGAGACCAGTTTCAGCCGGGGCATTGCTTGAGACTGCCAGGTTGAAAGGAGGTCATAGTTATCTCATGCCTGGGTTTTGGCCCAGTCGATGCTAGTCTTCCAGCCAAGTCATCTGGGGACACCTCAGCCAACAGCGACACATTATAGAGTGCTCACCTTGTAAGCTGTCGTCCCTTTTGGCATCCACAAAGGGCCTCTGGCACCATCTCCCCCTCCCTGGTGGGAGCACACTTACAAGGGAAAAATGATGTGTCAACATTCCCATTACTATCAGTGGATCTTAAAACTCCTTTCCTTTGGTGGATAAGTGCTATTACCTAGGCATGCTTGCTCAGAAGTATTCCCCATTGAGTTCAATGGAGCTTACTCCTAGACATATGGCATAGAATTACAGCCTCACAATGCATGCCTACTCAGAAGCTCCACTGCGTTTTATAGGGCTTAGTCCCAGGTTTGAGAAGGTGAGAGTTCAGCCTTTTCTTGGAAGACCAACCACTCATATCTGTTGATCCACTGATCTTTCGAAAATCTTTTCAGAACGCTTCCACGAATGATGCTATGCATTATGTCATGCTTAAAGTTAGTTTTGCCCAACTTCCCCTTGATTTCAATGGGCCTGTGTGAAGCCTAAGTATGAATCCAGTCCTATGAATATTAATAACAATAACAATACTATCAATTATTAATTATAATTAATAATTATATTATTATTATTTTCATGCCTATACTGCCCCATAGCAGAAGCTCTTTTTAGCTGCTTATCTTTAACACAATCCCATTTGTTCCATTTGTTTCCAACTTAAAGGATCCAGCAACAGCTACTTAGTGCGCTAGTACTTTGCAATCTTTAAAAAATGTAATGGGGTGATTCCAGATTTAAAGGTGTTTGTGATTTAAAGATTTAGAGAATGCTTATGGAATCTGCGTGACTGCTTTCAACGGGCCCGACTGTAAGCATGGCTGGGGGCATGACCGTTTTGCTGCTGTCCTAGATGCAGGCAACTCTACCAACTCAGGGGCTTACATGCATCCAGTGACCAGAGTGAGGTGTGGGGGTGGCAATCCCTATCTAAATAAAGCACCAGGACCAGGAGCGAAGGGCCTGGAGCACCAAGAGAGACTCCCAGAGGTGGGCAGACCCAGCCTCTTCCCCCAGCCCTCTGGGATGCCCCTTTCCCTCTCCCCAGGGTGTTTATTTCTGCTTTGGGAGAGGCAGGCGGCACCCACTGTAAGGGAGGTGGGGTGAGATCAGGTGTCCTCAGGGCTGGCACCCCAGAGAATCCCATGGCACCCCAGACATTGTCAGGATGTGTAGAATTGTGTCCTAACTCCACTCTGTCCATCTTTCTTGAAGATCTGATCACCGCATTCTGCTCTAAATGCACTGTTCAGTTTGCAAGCCTTTTTTCTCGATCAAATGAAATGGATGGTAGGTGGTTGTTTGCTTTAAACACAGCATTCACGGCACAAATTGTTATGAAGTTATTATTTTAGAAACAAATGGTCTGGAAATGTGTTCCCCATCACTCATTTAAATTTTATGGGTTGTTGAACTAAATATGCAAATTGCCTGTAATTCTCCACCTTGTGACATTCTGGGTGACGGATGCTAATGCTGCACTTGAGAATTAATGCGTACGCACCCACATTTGTACCCCAGCAGAAATTCTCCACCCCATTATTTATGGGACTCTTGCTGCTCCCTTTTGAGACACTGGTTGTCACTGGGCTGGCTTTGCTACTCCCCCAATCTCTCCCAAATGGCTTAATTGCTCTTTGCTATTGATGCAACGGATGGTCTGTGAATATTTACTACTCAGGAGTGTAAAATTAGGTTTGTCTCCACTAAACTGTGGCAAGGAAGGGGCTGTTGGCGGAAGAGGTCCAGTGGTCCAGTGTTTCCTGGATCTGTTGATCCTATCACTTGAGCTGTAATCCCTGCCTAGATCTGGTATCCAGTCAACTTCTCCCTCCAGTTCTACCCTGACCTTGGACAGAACCAGTCTGGAAGGGCAGTGCGGTGCAATGGTGAGAGTATTGCTCTGGGACTCTGGAGTTCAGACTTGTGGCTCCCGCTCACTGATGAACTTCCCTGGGTAACTTTGGGCAATCGCTGATATTCGGCCTGACTAAGGATCTTGTATGTCACCTTGCATTCCCTGCAGGAAAAGCAGGATATCAGTGTGACAAAATAAATCCACCTGCTTTGTCAAGCACAGTCTGTTGTGCTTCTGTCACCATTATGAAATATAACTGCTCCCCCTGCACATTTTTCTTTTCGCCTGGAAAAGAAAATGCCAGGTAGGCTGTCACGTTTTTCTTCTTCCTTCTCCATCAGTGGCCCTTATTTTTCAGCAATTATTTCGTCACATTTTTATATAACCTTATTTGAGAGGGGAGTTCGCCTGTGGGCATGAATTGATATACTAATAGTCTAGCGTGGCAAAAGGTGGAGCTACACGTGATGCTAATGATGTACTCCTTTCACAAACAGGAAGCTTGATCCAAACTGGGGATAGGAAGAAGGGCATCTTCTCCATGAAGTGCAGGAGGCCAACTAGCCTGGGGAAAGTCTGCCTCCAGGTCTACAGGGCAGTCGTCCTGCCTCACGTGGGAATCAGATTTCAGGTTCTTGCCATGCAAGAGCAAGCATGAGAGGCAGTGTGGTGTAGTGGTTAAGAGTCTGGGGCTCAGGCGATCTGCGTTCTCGTCTCTGCTTGGCCATGGAGCCAACTGGGTGACTCTGAGCCAGTCACAGACTCTCAGTCCACCCTCACAGGGTTGTTGTTGTGGGGATAAGACAGAGCAGGAGATGGAGTATGATGTGAGCCACTTTGAGTTTGTTGTAAGAAAAAAGTCAGGATATAAATCTAATAGATAAATAAATATGAAAAAGAGTAGAACCCTTTGCCTGCTGCTATGGACCTGATCCAGATCATTGGGGAAGGGCGTGTTTTCTGTTTGCAGGATGACAAGGAGCTTCAATAAGCTTCAAGGAACCTTGAAATGTCACTTTAACTAGAATTTGGTGACAACTCAGTCTTTTATCTTTTTTAAACATTTATTTTTTGCCTTGATCACTGCAGCTTGGAGACTCAGTTAAACATACTTTCACAAAGGAACACAGGAAGCTGCTTGAAAATGAGCCAGGCCCCTGGGCCATGAAGCCTGGTGATGTTGACAATAATTGGCAGCCATTCTCCAGGAATTCAGACCAGAACATTTCCAGCTCTACCTGGGGAAGTTGTGGCTCAAAGCAGTGGCCACCTGAGTTCAAAGCAAATGCTCTGGCACTGAGCCATCACAGGTCGCTGTTCACCTCAAGCCTTGATGCATTTTAGCCCCTTGAATACTTTTCCTCTGTTTAACCATTAGCTCTGTTTCTCTCCCGCTCTTCCTGCTGCCTCTTCTCAGAGGAGATGGATCAATCCGCTGCCGTGCGTTCCGAATATCTGGTCTCAGGGATTCGAACTCCTCCTGTCCGAAGAAATAGCAAGCTGGCCACGTTGGGCAGGATCTTCAAACCATGGAAATGGAGGAAAAAGAAAAATGAGAAGCTAAAGCAGACTTCAGCAGGTAAGTAGTGTGGCAGAAGATGGCTTTGGCTTATAGCATGACGACTATACAGGGCTGTGTATGTTCTTCAATTTGTACAGGTACAAATAAGGCCAAGAACATGCTCTGGCTTGTAAAATCCAGCTGCCTGAGAGCTCAGCTGGAATTCATTATAAAACAAGTTTCAAGTCCTTATGATTTTACAGATTTGCTTGCGAGTGTGTGGGCAGTGCACGAGAGACCCTCACAAGCAGCTGAGCAAGCATTCCAGGAGACTTAGATCCCGTGTACCTCCAACTCCCCCACAGTGACTAGGAGAAATGGAAGGAAGGAAGCAGAGCATATACCAACTGCAGAAGTCATCTTTATTTCAAGCAGGGCTTTTCAATGGCACTTAGTGAAGGCGCTCCAAGACCCTGTTTATAAGTAAGGTGGAACATAATGCTACTTCTGACAGGGGTATCTCAAACTGTGGTTGCTTTCGCTGCACCCCTTCTCTAGTTAAAGGGCAATTCCCATTTCATCCTTTTTTACTTTACTTCCTTGGTGTGATTGGAATTGCCAGGTGCTATTCATCCATATGCAGGTGTGCATCGGGGACAGGATATCTGAGATCAGCTGTGTGGGGCATGATGAGATTGGGTGGTACCTGCTTCCCTGAGCACCTTTCATCCCACATTCCAAATGCATGTGGCCAGCTGAGTGATCCATGATGCTTCCCACTAGGCTGAGAGTGCTATTTCAGGGGACACCCACCCAGGCTTTTGGGCATATCTCTCCACCTGCAAGTTACCCTGCAAAGAAAATATCACTGTCAGAAGATGGTGCAGTTATTGTCTTGCTTCACATGGAACATTAAGCCATTGTGTGGTTTATTGTAGCCTGACTTGTCTGAATCCTTCCCTTCGAGCAACCCATGGTTTGCCAGCTAACTGCAAACCACAAAGAGTTGCCATCATTTGCTTTCTGGCTTATGAAGCCTGGCTTGTTTAAATGATGGCTCATTGTGATGTCTGCACCCAGAACCATGGCTTGTCATTGACTTGTTTTGTCCAGGAAGAGAAGCTTGAAAACTAGACTGCTTTGAAGGCTGACAAAATGGAGGGGGGAAAAGCAAACTTGAAATAGGGAAAAAGAGTCCATCATTTTTTGCCCAGCTGCAAAACCATTAATAGCTAATGTTACCCATGATTTAGCATTACTCTTTATTTATTTATTTATTTGATTTATATCCCACTGTTTTCTCATAACAAATTCAAAGTAACTTACATGATTCTCCCCCTGCTTTTCTCAGTCTTATCTCCACAACAACAACCTTGTGAGGCAGGTTGGGCTGAGAGTCTGTGACTTGCCCAAAGTCACCCAGCTGGCTCCATGGCAGAGCAGGAACTAGAAGCCAGATCAATTAAGCCCCAATCCTAAGCTTTTCACCAGACATCGGAGGGTTGCAATCTTCAGCAGTGCCCAGTCGCATTGACAGAATTCTCTCCTCTCTGCCTCTCATCAGCAGAGGCAAGCACTAAATTTGCATGGTAGTAAATACTACTACTCAGGCCGTGGTAGTAAGGGTGACCCCCATCTTTCTTGCCTCTATTCCAGGGCATTCAATAGCAGCCAGTCCTGCAAAAACTTAGCAGGCAAAGCTTTTTCATCCCTCTGTCTCAACACTAGGAAAAGCAACCTTGGTGCACAATTGACCTGGTGCATGATCCTTCCTCAAGGGGAGATTCAGGGACTGAACCTGATACCTTTCACATGCAGCACAGAGCTATGGGTAGAGCATGGCCCACTTTACAGGGCACGGCGCTCTGTCTGAGGGGCACTTCTGGTTCAATACAAAGGCTTGTGTGGGCTTCTCTTGACATCCTCCATCCACAGCTAGCGCCTGAACAGCAAAATGGGGAGACACACAGGTAAACGGGTCAGGGGATGAGAAGTGTTGCATTTTTGAATTACCATCTCTTCGTGAAAGAGCCTAAGCAAATCTTATGCAAAACTGTGTCCTCTTTTTTGATCATGTGCAAGTGGATACTTCAGGCAGAGTCCAGCTCTGGGTGGTAATCCAGTTTTTATTTTAATTCTTTTTTATTTTTTTAAAGAAAACTTGGACTTCTAGCTAGTGGACCAACCTGTCTCTGTAAGGGAGGGTTTGCAGCCTCTGTGACCAGTTAGATTTGTTGTTTTGCATGCTGTCAAGTCATCTCCAACTAATGGTGATCCTGTGAATGAAAGCCCTCCAAGAGAGTCTTACCCATGATAGCCCTGCTCATCCCCTAAAACTCAAGGCAGTGGCTTCCTTGATGGAGTCTCTCCATCTCATACTGGATCTTCCTCTTCTTCTTCCTCCATCAGGAATCCTTAGCATGATTGTCTTCTCCAGTGAGTCCTGTCTTCTTCTGAGGTGCCCAGACTAGAACAGCCTCAGCTTTGTCATTTAACTTTTACAAACTGTTAAAAATATCCACAGTCAAACGAATCTTTGTTGCTTTGATTTAGAAATAATGTAACTCTCTCTGTGTCCAAGTTAAAAGGAGGGACAGATAACTAAATAAGACACAAATAACCTTATGATCTGGAAAAGCATCTTAAGGAAAGGAAAGGCGAGAAGATGCTCCACAAGGCTTATAGGCTACTGTTGAGTATATTCAGGATTTAATTGCAAGTCCCCCCCCCCCCCAGATTCAATAAAATCACCTTTCTAATATTGTCATTACGTGTAATATCCCACAGGTAATGTAGCCATGAGAATTAATATGGGACAAGGAACCTCTTTTGAAAATATATACCTAAAGCATTCCTGACATGGTGATTCAGTACATAGAGCCAATCCATACTTTCTAATTATGGTGACTTACTATGTAGCAGGTGAATTGGCCACAAATCTGCGTGTCCCTGTGAAAGAGGCACATAAACCATATGAGAAGGACCAGTGCCCCCACATTTGTTACGCATTTTCAACAGAGCTGAATCTGGGTGGCTTTTTGCATTGCTGGGTCAAAAGAACAAAGCTCACACATTTTTACAAGCAGCTTTTGGGGTAATCAGTCCTTTATTATGTAGCTCCGTGGTAAGCGATGAACCAAAATGAGATTTCCTGCTTGCAATTTGCTCCCTATTGATCTTCTCTCAGCAAGAGTTTTTGTTCCATCCTGTTTTGTGTATTATTTCCATGTATGTATGTATGTGTTTACCGAATTGTGGCGGCCACACTGACATTGTGAGGAAAAGCAGCAGGGAATCACTGTGGTTTGTGTTCTTTCAGAGAAAGGCAGTACTATAAAGCACGACCCTCTCCACATACGCAAGAACAAAAAAATACAAGATGTGTTATGCCCAGAACTGCATAACTTGATACAAGAACTGCATTTCTGGGTCAGACTAAGGTTCCATCGAACCCAGTATTCCATCTTCAATGACTAGACCTAATGTTTCTGGAAATTTTTAAGTGGAGTACAAGGGCATTAGTCATTTGTCCCCAGCGCATGGAGTCCACATTTGTACTGTCTCTGAATACGGTGGTTCCAGGTCACATTTTGAATGCTCTGAAGTGCTGACTTCCAGGCACTCTGACCTCTGGTGGCACTAGAGACTGGTATCAGCATCAGGTTGTAATCTGAACTATTGATGGTGCTGAAACTTTTGGAGCAGGAGATTTAAGTCAGCACCATGGAGAGCTCCTGTAGAGTTCAGACCAGAGCAGAAAGAGGAAATGGTTCCACTGATAGCTGCTTCTGCTGTATGGTGGGCTCCTCTGACACATGTGCCCTGAGAAGCTGAGTTGCAGCGCTGATGGTGCCCAGTGGTGCAATGATAATTTGGAAGGAGAGGTGCAATTCGTGACCATCTCCATATCAACAAACCATTCTTACATCTCAATGTGGTGGATCAACCAGGACCTGGTTTTCAGTAAACTTGGGCTTTTCTGACAAGCAGTTCTGATACTAAGGAGAAACTTCCTACAACCAAGGCATTCCCACTGGAGTAATGGAGGAGAACATCAAGCCCAGAGTCCCATTCCAGCCTTCTGAGCTACCTGAAATAGCCATGGTCCTTTTCCCGGAACAGTGAACATTTGGTGGCTTCTCAGCTTTTGTATCACTTTTCCCCAATTTTGAATGTTTGAAATCCTAGGGCTTGTTGTCTGTTACAATGCAATGGTTTTTTGGCCCCACTTCATTGCATTGGAACTACCAGTCAACCTCAAACCCTGAGAACGTCTCCAAAACTGAATTGGATGCTCAATCAGAACGAGGTCCCCCAACTCTTCTCTAGGGAGCTGGTCTAGGGAACTAGCCTACATTGTTGAGCTACGGTTTGATACTTATGATGGGTTGAGAAGGAAATGGGGCAGGAAACCAGTTAGCCAACTGGGTGCCAGGAGGCCAAAGACTGCAGGAGGCTATGTTCCTACAACCAGTACATCGTAGTGGAAACTTTATATGTGGACTGGGAAGACTTGAGTTCATACCCCTGTAGAACCACAAGGCTGCTAGGTGACTTTGGGACACCCCCACGTAAGCTTGCCCTCAGTTTCCCGGAGGGAAAGTGGGATATGAAAGTGAAGAATAAGTAGCACTGCACTTCACCTGCTCTCCCACTGTGCCATACTTCAAGTTGGCATGCGTCACCATTTCATGCAGGTTTCTTGTGATATTCATTTCCATGCACTGTCAGCTCCGATGTTCCATGTTGATCATGCTCACCCCCCTCCCCCCGTTTTTGCAGCACTAGAGAAGAAGACAACCACCAGGCAAGGTCGGGAGGAGCTAATTAAGAAAGGCCTTCTGGAAATAATGGAACAAGGCAAGTGAAAGCAATCTCTGTTTTTTTTCCTGCCCTGCCCTTTCCACAACAACCTGAAAGATGTTTCACTATTCTTCTTCTTCTTTAAAGACAACAACAGTGGACTGATTTAATTAGGTAGGTCAGCATCCCCAGAAAACAAGGAGTCAAATCTGGTTGTCCACCCACCGCTCAACACGCATGCATCCATATAGAAATTATCTTCCAGCTTGTGATAGTGAATTGATTCAAACCAGGCAGATATTCTACTGCACTGAAACCCACACAGCAAGAGCAAAAAGATGTGGGACCTTCTGTTGGAATCACAGCTGAGGTCTTATTTGTCTCTGACCCTTACCCCATGCTCCCTACTTCGTTCACAGACATACCCACAAAAAGTACAGATTCCCCTGCTCTGTCAACACACCCCGAAAGAACTGGCTTTCACAGCCATTCCTTATCTCACATTTTCATGCTCTTGCTTACCTTCATTTCCACCAAAATGGAGAGAAGTACCCAGACTTTCTATGCTGGGGTGCTACCTGACAAAATAAACGCATGAGGAAAGGGAAACAGTGTAGGTCAGCATACAAAGCTAAATGCAGCAGGAGTGCCAGTGTTTTGGACTCTTCTCTCCAGCGTACTAATATAATGGTTCATTTGTTTCTGGTTCAATTGTTAAAAAGGGTGAAGATGCTCTGGCCCATAAAGCACTTATGTTCTTGGAGAGCCAGTTATTCCAACCCTCCTCCCACTTTCCCACTGTCATTTGTGTGGGCTTCTCATCAGTTCCATCAACCCTATTTGCAAACCTATAATTGTGTCAGCTTGCAATATTCCATGCTTTTCAGCTGTGCTGATGTGTCTTCATTAGTGTGATTTCATGGCCACTAAGGAAAGGGGACGATGGTCATAAGGTGGTGAGACGAATGGCCTTTCAAGTAAAGGTGGAGTTTATTAGCTGGAACCACTTATGATGTCTGTCATGACCATAGAAAAAACAGGCAGCATGAGATACGTGTGTGTGTGTGTGTGTACGCAGCACCCAGCTCGGGCTGCCATGAAATGCGACCTGAGCATAAATTTGAGAATCTGTGTTAATTTACACTTCTGAGAAAAAGTCAGAAATGCACAGGACACCAGATCAACTTAGATGATCTACTGGGATGCTCATCCATACGGATTGGTGCCATTGAAGGTCAAGCTAGGAGTTGGTACTGGGACTGTGCCAGCTTTAAATATTTTCTTTTCTCTGTAAACATCCTTTCTAAGCCCCATGTCTTTGGCACAGAAGTGTGGATGCGAGGCCAAAAGCGTCGGCTGAAGGTCTGGAAACGCATCACTGGTATGCACAGGATAGCATCACCAAAGCCCAGTGACTTCTCCGTCTGCTACTCCACTATCTATTTATCCTCCAAAGTAACTGGAAAAGAGAATAAGAAGAACTGATATTTTGATTCCTTTTTCCTTTTGCTACACTCTCATGTTGCCAAGGAAAGCTGCACGTGAGCAAACTTAAAGTACAACACTTTTTCCTAGACAGGCGATTATGAATAATAGGTCTTTTAGAGTAATCTCGTATGATCCACGCATCTCCTTCTGATCAAAATGGATGTCTTGGGTGTCAGGGGGTTACTTTCCCACTCTAGCACTGCATACCATTTATTAACCCCTGCTTAAAATTCATTGGCAACCACTTTTTGAGTAACTGTTCATAAGCTGTTCCAACTAAGATGAAGTATGTGGCAGTTATATTCTAATCTGATCCAATTAAATCCCATTTCAATACAATAATTTGCAGCTTTGCAATATTCTGCTGTGCAGAATGCATTGAGCCTTGGATGCTCCTTGAAATCCTGCCTCACCAGAATGCCTGCATGGTTATCCCAAGCGGCGTGCCCAGGTCTACTCCATTTCTGCTCTCACTGGGCTGTGAGAGGAACCATAGGCAGCATTGCTACTCCAGGTTTAAGTGGCACAAACCCAGTAGAAGGTATTTATTATTTTGATTTATTTTATTGCCTCCTACTCTGAAGCTTAAATTTGCACTATGATACACACTCAAACTATATAATATACAAGAAAAACATCAAATGTTACAATTCAATAGTTTTTAAACAAATCAAAACAAAACATTCCAACCAGGAGTATCAAGAATATGACCTCACTAGGCATCAGGAGAGCTATTAATGGTGTAGTGGTTTGAGGGTTGGAGTGGGACTTAGGGAATGTGTTTTTTCTGTTTTGGTCACATGAAGACTTGCTCTGGAACCAGGGACTTATGTGCCATTATTTTAATTTTCCCATAGTGCCCTGAAATGCCCAATGGAATTTTGCCCTGGGCCATTGTGGAACATTTACAGTGGTGGCAGCTTATACTTGGTAGACTATCTCAGAGTGCTGAAGTCCCAGAGTGAGAGTACCAGGTGCTGAAATGAGGTCTAAGGAAACAGCAATGAAATGAACAGTAATACAAAGTGGTTTAAATACTCCAAAATGCAGTGTAATGCCTCAATACAAGATGGGGAATACATGGCTCCACGGAACTGCAAAAGAAAAAGGGCAAATGCTATATTGGGATGCATTAATAGAGATATTACTTCTAAATCATGAGATGTAATACTTCCCCTATACTCTTCACTAGCCAGACTTCATCTAGAATACTGCATTGAGTTCTGGGCACCAAGATTTAAGAAAGATTCAGACAAGCTGGAAAAGTGCCCAGAGGAGGGCAACAAAAATGATTTGGAAACTGTTGCCCTAAGAGAATAGTTTGAGAGAACTGGGTATGTTCAGCCTTGAGAAGAGAAGACTGAGGTGGGACATGATATACTTTATAAGTATCTGAAAGGTTCTCACAGAGAATCTCACAGAAGTTCTCACAGAGAGGAAGGACAAGATCTCTTCTCACTCATACCAGAGTGTAGGACATGGAATAATCAGCTCAAGTTGTGACAAACCAGATGCAGGCTACATATCAGGAGAAGTTTCCTAACTGTCAGAGCAATATGACAGTGCAACCGGTTCCGTGGATAAGTTGCAGGCTCTCCCACACAAGGGACATTCAAAAAAACAGAAAACAAAACACCGGACAGCCATCTGATGGAGGGTGTAAATTGGTTTTCTGCAACAGCAGGGATTGGACTCAATGGCCTTCATGGCCCCTTCCAACTCTACTGTTCTATGATTCTATGTAATGCAGATTTTTTCCCAGCCTTTATTAACACCATGGTCCTGCAAAAATGGGGAACTGGCACCATGTACTGGATTCTGAAGACTTGTTATCCACAATCCTTTGGTATTCTAAAAAAAAATCCAGATAGAATGAAGCTAGTCCAATATTCTTTCTGTGAAGTTGTGATTGCCTTCTGCACATTTGTAACCTTCAGGGTCACCCATCCAGTACAGAACCAAGAATCCAAAGGAATTCAGACTTGATTACTTCACAGCAACAATCGTCTGGACCTCATGGCTATATTTGAAAATGTGTGAAAATGAAAATGTCTATTTTCTAATTTCTAATAATCTATGAAAATTACATTGTGTCAGAAGATAGAGTCATCCATGTCCTGACTTGACCCTTCCTTTGTATAGTTTCTGTTACTATATTGTGCCCCTTGCTTTTTCAATTCACTTACAAAGAAGCAGCCAGGTAATACCCAGAAATACCCAAGGTGCAGCATTTAAAAATCCATTGGCTTGCAACTGTAGAGTGTTGGGAACAGTGGCCACACCTGCCATGAAGCTGAATGCAGCAACCTGTTTCAGGTGGCACCAGGAGATGTAGAACTGGACCCTAGGTCCTTGAACCATTGTTCCTCAGCTGTACTTGAGGAATTTCTGCACCCAAATAGGCTCCATCTCATTCATCCTATTCTTCAGTGTAGTTCGATCCTGTCCATCTCTTGATATTTTCTTGGAACTCTTTATCTGTGCAGCAAGCCAATTCCATTGTGTGCAATTTGCACATTTTGTTTGTCCTTCCTGCTGCTTCTTCCTTGTCTTTCTCTTGTGTAGGAAGCCTCTCCTTCAAAGTCCTGGCCTCACCGCAGGCTATTTCATGCAAAGATGGGCATGATAAAGGACCAAACTGGCAGGGACGTAGCAGTTGCAGAAGAGATTAAGAAGAGGTGGCAAGATTACACAGAAGAACTATACAAGAGAGAGCTTAACATCCCTGATAACCACAATGGGTGGTCACTGACCTCGAGCCAGACATCCTGGAATGTGAAGTCAAATGGGCCTTAGGAAGTCTGAGCAACAACAAAGCTAGTGGAGGTGACAGTATTCCAGCTGAGCTATTCAAAATCTTAAAAGATGATGCAGTAAAAGTGCTACACTCAATATGCCAGCAAATTTGGAAAACTCAACAGTGGCCACAGGATTGGAAAAGCTCAGTTTTCATTCCAATCCCAAAGAAGGGCAATGCCAAAGAATGTTCAAACTACTGCACCATTGCACTCATTTCACATGCTAGCAAAGTTATTCTCAAAATCCTACAAGCTAGGCTCCAGCAGTATGTGGACCGAGAACTACCAGAAGTACAGGCAGGATTTCGAAGAGGGAGAGGACCTAGAGATCAAATTGCCAACATACGCTGGATCATGGAGAAAGCTTGGGAGTTCCAGAAAAAACATCTACTTCTGCTTCATTGACTATGCTAAAGCCTTTGATTGTGTGGATCACAACAAACTGTGGCAAATTCTTAAAGAGATGGGAGTACCAGATCATCTTATTTGTCTCTCGAGAAACCTATATGCGGGTCAAGAAGCAACAGTGAGAGCTGACACAGAACCACTGATTGGTTCAAAATTGAGAAAGGAGTTCGGCAAGGCTGTATACTGTCTCCCTGCCTATTTAACTTATATGCAGAGCACATCATGAGAAAGGCGGGGCTAGATGAATCACAAATTGGAATTAAGATTGCTGGGAGAAATATCAACAACCTCTGATATGCAGATGATACCACTCTAATGGCAGAACGTGAAGAGGAACTAAAGAGCCTCTTGATGCAGTTGAAG